TCTTCTAATTGATACACTTCCATCTACAGCCCACAAAGCATATTTTAATCTTCCCATATGTTTCCTGAAGTTCTGCGTATACTTAGTGCTCTATATTAAAAAAACAATAACGGTGAGCATTTATTGCTGATTAAAACCCTAGGTGAATTTATATGCTAATTGCCAGTGCATAAGTTGCCTCCTAGCGAGATTCTAATTCAGCCCTCTTAACTACAGAGATTGTGCACTGCTGGCTAAGGGCTCTAGTTGGGAATGGTTAAATCATGATCTTATGACACCCTTCTAAGACTGCTTTTTATTCTTTCACTCTCAGCAGATGTTATAGTTAAAGTTGTGAAACATTTTCCATTATTATCCCCCATTTTCAAATGCTCATAACTGTTTGAAACATTCATCAGTGGGACTAAAATTTTCTATCCTTGGGGTACGTCCAGACTACCCGCCGTATTGGCGGGTAGGGATCGATTTATCGGGGATCTGAACGCGCTCCCCGTCGACTCCGGAACTCCACCGGAGCGAGTGGCGGTAGCGGAGTCGACTGGGGAGCCACGGCCATCAATCTCGCGCCGTGAGGACCCAAGGTAAATCGATCTAAGATACTTCGACTGAAGTTGTGTATCTTAGATCGATTTCCTCCCCCCCCCCCAGTGTAGATCAGCCCTTGCTCTCTATTCCAAGTTGTTTGTTTGTTTTTAAAGCTTGAGCTAAATTCCCATTGTCTCAATTCTTGAGTTATGGGGTAGTATGAAAAAATACACAGTTCATACTATAGAAGATCATGCATTTTTGCTGTTGTTGCTTTAAACAAGATTCCTGTTTGAACTGTGAAACTTGCACAGGCATACTGCTTACTGAGGACTAGCGCCTTGCTTAGTTCAATGTGGAAAATTTAAATTAAAAATAAAAAAGGTCTAGGCAATTGACATATTTGATAGCATGCTCAGAAGGCATCTGCTAATAAATGTGGATAACCTAGTGAATACCCCCCTTTGTGACACCATAATGCACACGCTCTCTGAGCAGGGGCTTGGTCAGGGATCCAAGAAGCCCCTGGGATACTGTGTGTGGGTCTCATGGAACTACACAGACAAACCCCCTAACATTTTTTTTTAAAAGAGCAACAAAAGCAGCCTTAAAGGGACACCATTAACTCAAAGAAATCACACTGGACTGGGACACAAATTGTATGTCTGTCCATACATCTTGTACCTGCTGTTGTTACTTGTCATACCTGAGATCACTATAGCTGAAGATTACAGAACAAGTCCCCTCCACACAAACACATTTCCTCCATTTGTTTACCTTGTACATAAGGCAGCACTGTGTGTCTGGTCAGTTTTACAGTTTTCCCATTGTTTGTGTGGGTCTTTCAAACAGCACCTGGGAAGCAAAAAAGGCAAATTCATCTCTACACCAGAAAAAGGAAGGTAAAATTACATCTCACATAGGCAAGGGCTTCTGAGGGCTAATTTGGACCCCAGTGCAGGCTTGACCAGCTCCGAGGGCTGCCATAATCTACAGACCTGTTCCAGTAGCCTCTATGGGCCACTGTGAGGGAGCAGGTCTACCCTAGTCATGCCCCTGCTTGCCTTTCATCACCCCCTGCAGAGGTGCTGCAGAGCCAGCTCTGTGCCTGCTGAGGGTCTCTGTTTCCCCAAGGGGAATTCACCAGGATGACCACACAGCTCTTTGGCTTAGCTGGTGCAAAGTGGCTGCAGTGGAGGGGTGAATTCTTCCTTCAGTGTTTTGCTGCGAGATCTGCTTTTGCAGCGCAGTCACATCCTATCCCTCAGACACTGCATGGGAGTGACATCTATGTGCATCACAGCCTTTGCATTCAAATTACTTAAAAAAGAGCAATTAAAAGAAGAGTCTGGGCCCAATCCAATGCCTGCTGAAGTTAATGGCAAAACTACCACAGACTTTAATAGGAACAAGAGCTGGCCTGCCTTTTATTTGTCCCCATAATAAAGGAACAGCACAGGCACCTTCAACTCCCACTGGAATTATACCAGCACCCTCTCTCACTGCCTGAGTATCTGAACAGTTCACTTACCTTTTTCATACCTTAGCATTTATATTTATAAAATGAACCCTATTCAACATGTTTCAGGGAGTGCATTCAGAATCTATTGCACACTACGTAGATCTAGTCTAGAAATCAGCCCTACTTCCTAAATCTTCCTCCCCAGTCCCAGGTAAAAGAGATGAGCTTTCCGGAGCTGTACAAGGCCTAACAGACTCTGGTTCTGCCAGATCAATGATGGGAGTGAATTAGAGACAAGAGACCTCTGCTGAGAGAGCCCTGCCTCCATCCTTTTAAACCAAGGGAGTGTTAGCTGGCCTCAGTTCTGCCATTGCTGTGCTTCCAAGTGGTCTTTGAGAACAGCCCCTAGCAGAGCCTGTAAATAATACTCTGATAGTTATACAGGATCCTTCCAAAGGATCCTGCGGGGGAGGGAAGGGGGTGTTGGAATTCAAGTTTGTTCTGGGGAGCTGGCCTCCCAGGGGGCATTTTTAGCTTCAGATAAGCCTTTGATGGAATCCCTGATTTAAGGGGAAGCCCGCCCATCCATCAGGTGGGTGGGTGTTTGTTCCTTCCATTTCTCCCTCAGTGGGTAAGGTAAATGTTTGCCCTACACTTTCCACACACATGAATGAGGCTTACCATATAGCACCACTCACTCTCTTCCTCTCTGAGGAGCAAGGGCAGGAAAGGCTTGACAAACGGTATTAGCCCCCACGGGCGAGTGCTGGAGACAAAGAGGAGGTATTACTGCATGGGCTGGTGGGAGGCAGGACCCAGTTGATTAGCACACATGGGGTGATCTGCTAGTTAAGAGCTCTGAAGGTAAAACCTTGATTCTTTTATTAACTTTGCTTTGGTTTTCTTGAAAAGCTCAAATCCTGGATTTAAAAAGGACTTTGAATATGTCCCTAGTTTTGTTTATGTTTAGTATCCATTACGTATCGTGGCATATTTTTTCTGCAAGCAAAGAGGAAAGCTTGTTAGCCCTTTAAAGTGCATTTATGGTCAGAAAAGTGCCTGTGTTCAAATGGCACCTTTGCTCCCTGTGTGAATATGACTGCCATCTGCTGACTGTAATGGCTGGGGTAAGTTTTAACTATATTTTAATCACACTAGTACTGCCAAGCCACTCCAGCTGGGTTCTGTTTTGTTTCCTGCATCAACAACATAATTGCTAAATAAATTCCAGTTACAGGCCTAAATTCTGCCCTCAGTTCAGTTAACTCAGACTTGGTCAGTATTTGCTCTAGAGCACTTCTGGAAATGTTGTTAGTGGTATAGTTCAGTAGTGGGGAGCTCTTCCCTCTATGTAGGGTTGCCAGGTGTCCGGTTTTTGACCGGAACACCCCGGGCCATTAAAAGTCTGGTTGGTGCAGGGCTGGCAGGCTCCCTGCAGCTCCCTGGAAGTGGGTGGCATGTCCCGTGACCCCTAAGCGGAGGGATGGCCAGGGGGGCTCCGCACATTGGCCCGGGGCCCTGAGTGCTGGCTCCACAACTCCAGGAGCTCCCCTCCCGCACTCCAAACTCCTCATCCCTGGCCCTATCCCCAGAGCCTGTACCCCCAGCCAGAGCCCTCATGCCCCTGCACCCCAATCCCCAGCCCGGAGCCCCCTCCTGCACTGTGAACCCCTCGGCCCTATCCCCCAGCCCCCTCCTGCATCCCAAATCCCTCAACCCTGGCCCCACCCCAGAGCCCTCACCCCCTCCTGCACCCCAACCCCCTGCCCCAGCCTGGTGAAAATGAACGAGTGAGGGTGAAGGAGAGCGAGTGACAGAGGGAAGGGGGATGGAGTGGGTGGGGTGGGGTGTGGCCTCGGGAAAGGGGCAGGAGAAGGGTATTTGATTTTGTGCGATTGGAAAGTTGACGACCCTACCTCTAGGTCAGTACTGAATCATATCACAGCCTGGTGTTCAGGGACTCTTTGCCATCTTGCAGGTGAAATGTGTACAACAAAAGTCCTGGCCCCTTGTCGCCATTGAGGATCCCATGAAAATTTTTAACAGTGTAGGGAGCTTAGCCTTAGTGCCATAGTCTAATTCAAACTTGCAGAATTGTCTTTCTAACTTCCCTCTGTAGTGTCTATTGGAAGCTGAATGCTTCTCTTGCTTCCCCAAACATATGCAGTGTTGTTCTGCACAGAGCTACTTGAGGTGGCTGAACTTCACTGATAACAGAAGTAATTGCTGCACATACGGTTAGTATAGGACTTTGGCCTTTGGAGTTTGTTGTGGGTCACCCACCTGGGAGATATGCATGGGAAAGATTCTTTCAGATTTCTTGGTTCCTTTAAGCAGGGGAAGGGAGGAGGTTGTAATCCTGCAGCAATGTTCCTCATCACATTTATTCTTTCCTCCAAAAATTTCATCCCCAGCTGTCACTGAAACAAGCTGAAAATCAAATCAAAACAAAACAGTGAACGACCTTGGGGTCAAAGTAATTTGCAAACAGTCATCAGGTTTTGTTCTCAGAGGGCCTGATCTTTAGAAAGAATGACTGGTGCTATGGTTAAAAGTATTAGACTAGGAGTCAGGAGACCCAGGTTCAGTTCCTAACTCTGCCACAGACTCCTTGTGCAAATCACTTAACGCTCTTTGCTGCAGTTCTTAGGGTTGCTACCTTAGAGGTACAAAAAAAATCAAGATCTCCACAATGATCCTGAGCCCATAAAACTGGACAGCTGGTAGCATGTACTGAACGCCCAGAATAGCTACCAAAAAAAAAAAGATGATCCTGGGAAAACCTGGACAAATGGCAACCCTAAGTTGTACCATTGCTCTGGAATTCACTAAAAGAACAGGAGTACTTGTGGCACCTTAGAGACTAACAAATTTATTAGAGCATAAGCTTTCGTGGACTACAGCCCACTTCTTCGGATGCATACAGAGTGGAATAAATATTGAGGAGATATATATACGCACATACAGAGAGCATAAACAGGTGGGAGTTGTCTTACCAACTCTGAGAGGCCAATTAAGTAAGAGGAAAAAAAACTTTTGAAGTGATAATCAAGGTAGCTCAGTACAGACAGTTTGATAAGAAGTGTGAGAATACTTACAAGGGGAGATAGATTCAATGTTTGTAATGGCTCAGCCATTTCCAGTCCTTATTCAATCCTGAGTTGATTGTATCTAGTTTGCATATCAATTCCAGCTCAGCAGTCTCTCGTTGGAGTCTGTTTTTGAAGTTTTTCTGTTGTAATATAGCCACCCGCAGGTCTGTCATTGAATGACCGGACAGGTTAAAGTGTTCTCCCACTGGTTTTTGAGTATTATGATTCCTGATGTCAGAGTTGTGTCCATTAATTCTTTTGCGTAGAGACTGTCCGGTTTGGCCAATGTACATGGCAGAGGCGCATTGCAGTCACATATCACATTTGTAGATGTGCAGGTGAACGAGCCCCCTGATGGTATGGCTGATGTGATTAGGTCCTATGATGATGTCACTTGAATA